GATAGAATAGAAATGATAGGTGTTATTCCTATAAACTAATAGATGACGAAGCTGTTATCAAAATAACATTATGTTAGAATGAAAGATGTAAAATATTATTCAAAACTGATCGGTCGTAAATCGCTTATATGTACTTGTGATCTTATGTGCGTATACTCATCTTCGACTACATACATTGGATGATGAATTTCAACAACGATTTTCGGAATAGGAGAGAATTTCGGATCTAATTTTCCTTTCGAAACATATATACGAGTAAAAACTTTATCTCCTAATTTCAATTGTGGATCAAGACGATTCTTATTGTAATACGTCTGATTAGCTTGTTGTTGACATAATATATTTTCACGTGAAGCCTGATGAAATATACGTAACGTCTTTTTTAGTTGTTCAAAATAATCACTAGGTTTCAGAAATGTAAATTCTTTAGGTTGTATATGAATAGGTAGACGAGCAGTACGACCGTATAATAACTCATAGGGAGAAAATTTCGTGGACTTGTGTACTCCTGTATTATACGCAAAGACGACGGCTTGCAAGTACTCATCCCAATTATTATGTTGAGCATTTTGTAACTTCGAAATCTGAGTTACAAAAGTGGCGTTAAAACGCTCGGCGATACCGTTTGTTTGAGGATGGTACGGAGTACTATATATATGATTGTATCCTATGAGATTTTGTAGATTCTCCATTAACTTATTTTGAAAATGTGTTCCACGATCGCTTAAGATAACTGATGGTATACCAAACTTGCAAAAAAAATCATCAAATAAGGCGCGCGCTGCAGTTTCTGCTGTGCAGTTAGGAAGTGCTAATGCTGTTATATATCTCGTAAAATAATCTGTGATAATAAGCACATATTGATTCTCACGAGGAGTCCTAGGTAATGGTCCACAAAAATCAATGCCTATTAAAACGAATGGTCCTTCAGGTGGTGGAATAGAACGTAAGTGACCATATCTTTTAGCACGATCTATATTAAATTGCGTGCATAAACTACAAGACTTTACGTAACGTTGTATAGTGGCTTTCATTCCGGGCCACCAAAAATGAGGACGAATTTTATAATACATGCGATCTGTAGAAAAATGAGCGCCTGTTAACGGATCATCGTGACACGCTTTTAATAGAGAATTTATCATTGATGATGGTAAATATAACGCTTTAACGATTCGATTAGAACTATTCTGACAACTAATTAATTTGTACAGTTTATTATCTTCTAAGATAAATGAACTTTGACTCGATGTAGTAGATAAATTTTTTATTATGTTCTGTATCTTAGAATCTCGATCTTGTTCAACTTGTAACTGAGTTATATCGAAATAGTTTTGTGAAATTTTTGATGCTACTTTAGATTTCCTTTTATGTCTAGAATCCGATGTATCTATATAGTCATGATGATTATTCACGTCATTTCCATCAGAAATATGTTCTTTTGAATAATCAACTCGATTTTTACGTGGTCTGAGAGTCATGACTGCTAAAACATTCGGATTAGTAGAAGAAACTGATGAATCTGATGTTAAATTCTTAGTATCATTATTAGATGTTGCTGATGATAAGATCGAATGAGATTTACTAGCTAAGCCATATTCAATATCGAATATATCATCAAATGGTTCTTTTGAGTAACGTGAGAGATAATCAGGTAGACAATTGTACTGACCGCGAATATGAACGACTTTATCGATATTATATTCTTGGATCAAGTGCGTGATTCGATTCACCCTCTTATTCTTAATAGACTTTTGCATTATATAACATAAGGGGCAATGATCAGTCATAATGATAATATTTCTCCCTAATACAAAAGAAGCATACGATCTAAACACTTATAGATAGCTAGGGCTTCTTTCTCGATGGTACTATATTTTCTTTGACATGGGGTAATAACTTGAGAATGATAGTATAGATTACGGAGTTGCCCATTGATTTCTTGCTGTAAAACGCCACCTATTCCTATATCACTAGCATCTGTAGTTAATACTACAGGTAAATCATCTACAGGAAAATGTAGGAATAAAGGTTCGGTAGTAAGCATCTCTTTAAGCTGGTGAAAGGCTTTTGATTGAGCAGTTTGCCACTTAAACTTTCGTCGGTTAGGCCTCGTAAGATTGGTAACAGCATGTATTGGTGCTGCTACTTCTGCAAACTTTGGTAGAAATTTTCTATACCATCCTAAAGATCCTAGAAAACGATTCGCTTGAGCTAAAGTACGCGGTTCTTGTATTCGTAAAATAGCTTCTATCTTCTCATTCATTGGTTTGATAGAATTTTTATTGATAGTATGACCTAAGTAATTAATTTGTTGAACGGCTAATTCGCATTTAGGTGGATTTAATAGTAGATTTTTCTGTTGCAAAGCTGAAAGAACAGATTGAAGATGGTCCAAATGATCAGAAAAAGATTTGGAAAAGACAACAATATCGTCTAAGTAAACGAGAGAAAACCGACGACATGATTTCAAAGTCTCTGTCATAACTTTTTGAAAAGTAGGAGGGGAGTTTCGTAATCCCATCGGTAGAACATTAAACTGATATAAGCCGAATGGGGTTATAAAAGCTGTTTTCTCTTTATCATTTTCATTAATCGGTATTTGATAAAAACCGGATTTCAGATCGAGTTTGGAGAAATAACTAAATCCTTTTCCTAATTTAAAGATTGTATCTTCCATATTGGGAAGAGGAGAAGAATCTTTGATAGTTATAGCATTTAATAGCCTATAATCTACTACAAATCGAAATGAATTATCTTTTTTCTTGACAAGTATCGCTGGTGCTGCATAGGGCGAATTCGATTCTGAAATAAGACCAGCTTTCAAAAATTCTTGAATAAGTTCGTACATCACTTCCTCTCGATCCGGTTGAGTATATGCTCTACTAGCAGGAGGCGAATGAGGGATGGTATTAATAACATGTGGTATAGGAGTACGAGCTATATTATGTTTGGTTATGTCAAAAATATTAGAAAAGCG